GGAATGTTACCTCTATTTATTTAAAATAAATTTATGTATCTCTTCACAGAATATTTCTGTACCAATTAAAAAACTGTGGCAAGATAACATAAAATGTACCATTTTAACTATACAATTCAGTGGCAATACATACATTCACAGCTCTAGTACCTTTAAAAATCATCATAAATGGAAACGCTGTATCTGTTACACAGCCTTCCCCATCCAGGCCTGGAAGCCAATATTATATTTTCTATTTCTATGCATTTGCCTATTTTAGGGGCTTATATAAGTGGAATCATACTATAACATTTTGTTTTGTTTATTTCACTAACCATAATATTTTTGAAGTTCATGTATGTTGCAGCCTAACAGAAGTTCATTCCTTTTGAAGGCTGAATTATATATATATATATGTATGTATGTATGTATATACGTATATATATATACGTATATATACATATATATATACGTGTATATATATGTGTGTGTATATATATATATACACATTTTCTTTATCTTTTATTTATCTTAACCTGAGTTGTTTGGCTGTCATGAATAACGGTGCTGTGAACATTGGTATACAAGCACCTGTTTGAATCTGTTTTCAATTATTTCCAGTGTGCACCCAGGAGTGGAATTATGAAATCAAATGGTAATTCTACATTTGACTTCTGATGAAGTACCAATTTTCCACTGTAGCTATATCATTCTACATTCCCATGTGCAATGCATGAAAGTTCTTTGCAACTTTCTGCTTGATGGGAACATGAATGTTGCCAGAGGATAAGCTTTTCACATTTTTCTGGAGTGGCTCCCACATTTGTCTGTGCATCAAACATTATACAGGTATCTTCTTTAGATTCACCTACGTATACTGTCACCATATGAACATGTAGCTTTTATTCATTTTTAGATAATTTTCTAGATTGGCCTTTATAATCAGCATCCCAAACATAACATCACTATTTTGAGGGACAATATCTAAGTTAATATTCAATACTTTCATATCACGAGTCTTTAATTACTTTATATCTTGTGATCCTCATCTCTTCTCACTTTATCCAACTATTTCTAAAATGAAACTGTAAATATCACCACTGCTCAGAACAGTGTGCTTCAGTTCTGAAATCTTAAATAGCAATGTTCTATTTTCTGACTATCACCTATCATTCAGCTCTTAAATTTTCCCAATTCCTATTCAATTTACTATCAGATTTCTTTAAGATTTATGATTTCTTGATTCTTTTTTTCTCAGCTTACTTACCCCTTCAATTTTATTTCCTAACGTATTTAGCTTATGCAGTCATTCATCATCTCTACACCTCTTTGCTAGTACCCTCAAAGTCTCTGTGCTCCACTGTTTTTGCCCTGGAAATTTGTAATCCCAAGTCATTATAATCTTCTGTGATGCTATACAAGAGCAGTCAAATATTTTAAATTACATAGTCATACGAAAAGAACCTTTACAGTTTTTTATTTTTATTGGTATATGGTTGCAGTCCATAATGATTACATTTTTTATGGGGAGTTAGTCCATGTACACAGCACCTCTTAATTCTTTTTTCATCCTCTTCTCGTCCCTTATCCCTCTCCCTGCATCTTGGGCCATTCTCTTTTGCAAAAGATTTATCTATTTCATACTGGTTTCTCTTTTATGAGAAACTCAAAATATAAATAAAGAGCAACATAAAAGAACCCATAAAAATTTTTGCATCTACCCTCGCTGAGTCCTCAGGATTGCTTGACTTGGGTCTTTCTCTCACCTGTATTTATTCTCTCTCTCTCTCTTCTTCAGTGGATATTCTAACTCTTCTCACACTTGTCAAAACCTCCTGACTTCTTATGTTCAGAAGCTCACGTTAACCTGTATTTTATAGGGTAACCTGTATTTACACTCACAACTACTCTTTTCTGCTTCATTCCTATCTGTGATCACATTTGTCTATTTGCTTATGTAAGATGAACTCTTCGGCAGATAGCTCTAAATTCTACCTCTTCCACCTCCTTTGGAATTCTGTTCAATAACATTTCTATCAGCTCCTTTCAATTAGCCACACAGGCTCAAGAATTTGTCAATTTTCAAAAACAGAAAATAAAAATCCTTAAACTACCTTCTCTTCCTCGTCTCAACTATATTCTCTCTGTCTCTGTCTGTCTCTGTCTCTCTCCTACCTTTCCCTCTCTCTCTCTGTCTTCCAATCTCTTACCCACTCTTTCTCTCCCTGTGTCTGTCTCTCTATGCCTGTATGTCTGTCTCTGTCTCTCCCTAGTGTGTGTGTGTAGCCAGGGCCTTTGCACTGAGCCTTTGCACTGAGCTAGTTATCCAGCCTCTTTAATTTTTAAATTTTGAAATAGGGTCTCACTAAGTCACACAGGCTGGGACTTGCAATCCTCCTGCCTCAGCTTCACTATCATCTTTCTTATTCTTGTTTCTTCAAGGACTATTCTGTTGTCCAAACTGCTATGTTTTTCCTAATTACTCTTCAATGTGCAGAGAACTGGTTTCTATATCTAATACTCTATAAAATACTACTTTTTTGGAAAGTAGATTTTATACGCAAAATTCAAACACAAAAGATACTTTCGTGTATCCAAACCCCAAATGCCTTACTACATAATCAGCAATCATCTTAAAAGTAGTAATTACAAAGTTACTTGCAAAGGGTATCTTTGATCCAGTAACTGTTAATTCTGTTTCGAAGAGATCATACAACCCTTAGATTCATGTAGATTTTTAAAAGGGCTATGAAAAATATTTAACTTTATAATTCAGAAAAAATAATTTGACAATCTTTTGAAATTCAGCAAAGAGAAGGAAGCTTAAGAAATGGCATCAAAGTTTATTTTCAGGAAGTAATGCTAGTTTATGGAAATTATCATGCACCTCTTGGAATTCTTACACTCTCACTTCACCAACATAACTCACAAAGATCGCAGGAGCTGGTACCATAAAAACTCTCTGTAACAATAAAGTAAATCTACTACTTTCCATACTGTAATATCCATGGTCAGACGCAAATTACACAATACTCAAAAATCTTAATAGAGACCTCTTTTTATTATTTTATCAAGAAGAGACTTTAACTTAATTCAGCTAACTGCAACACACTTGTGAAACATAAATTCTCAAACGCGGTTATGTATGGGGATTTTTAGGGGCTTTACAACATGCTGATACCTAATGTAATTGACCTGTGTTGTGCTGGGCACTAGAATTTTTAGAGGCTTCTAAAATAATTCTAACAGAAGCAACAGTTGATAATCACTAGTATAAAAGATGGAAAGAGAAGGCTTTACAGTCTCTAACAAACAAACAAAAATGCTTGGTAAGATGTATGCCTTCACTGTCAGAATTTGCCTATCTGCGTATAGACAAAGCAGCGCCACATATATGCTGATTGTTATTGGTGAATGGTAACTGATAACTGTATTAAATTCCTAGAGCTGCTGTAACAAAGTATCATAAAAGTAGTGACTTCAATCAGTGGAAATTTAACCTCACCCAGTAATGCATCCTGTAATTCTGAAATCAAGTTTAAACTAGGCTATGCTCTCTTTGAGAGCTGTAAAATCCTTCCTGGCCTATCCTGGTGTTCAGCGTTTGCTGGCTATCTTTGGCACTCCTAGACTTGCACATGCACTACTCCAGTCACACAGCTGCCTTCATATTTTCTTCCCCTTCTGCATGTTGCCTCCATGTGCAGATTTCCAATATTTTCATGAGCACACAGTCACACTGGATTAGAAATTACTCTAACGACCTCAGTTTAATATGACTGCCTCTCTAATGACCCTATTTCAAAATAAGGTCACATTCTGGGAGTTACGAGTTCAGCATATCTTTTGGGGAAAGAAAGGGAGAGAGGACACCATTTAATCTATAACACTAACCAACTATTGAAAATGTCAGTGCCACTCCTCCAAAGCAGGTGTTTTTAACTTGGGAATGGGAAAAAAATTTTATTTTCACTTATTCTCATGGAAGTACAGAGGAATGGTACCATTATAAGCATAGTAATAAATCACAATGGTACTGTAATGGTTCTTATGAGAACGCAGCTATACCAGTCACTGGTATTTTCATGTTGCATTTTAGTATTTTTAATTGCAATAATAATAATAATAATCACTCAATTGAAACTTTAGTTACAGATCTGCTGCTACATTGAGTGACTTCATGCCTTAATAATGATGCATATATGCAGTAACATGTTATAATATTTTTATGGTTTTATTACAGGAAAACATTTTAATTGCAGTGTAGGCATTAAGCATCTGAGACTATATCCACATTTTTAAAAACCTTCAACAATTTATAGTCTCAGACATGAAATTTTTTAGTATCAAGAAATATAGAGAGAGCCTTATATTAGTGCTGTTAAGCTTTTATTTTTGCTGCAATCTACTATGAGAATGTACATTTGACATATAACCCAGTATGCACTCTTACCTCTCATACACACAACAGAAAACCAAAAGAAAAGGATCATAAAACAATACAAGGTATGTACTCTGGCAATTTCTATTCTAATTCTTTTCATTAAAAAATGCCAGTTTTGAGCCACTGAATTCATTTCACAACTACTCCTGGAACATGAATTAAATAAGCCTGTTAAAAATCTTTTAGTGACATTTCTTTAGAAATATCTAATAGCATATTATAAGTAAAGAGTTATTACTGCTACTCATGTACTACTTTAAAAATACATATCATTTTAGAGGTAGAATTTAGATGGACAACTTAGCAGTTCAATAGCTAACCAGGCTTCGTTTATATAACTAGTAATAAATTATATAAATTTTTTAATTTAATTTTTAAATTGCAACCGTACCAAATGTTGGAAGGAAAAGAGGTATAATACAAATTTATGCCTAAATAATTCTAAAAATATAAAATGCTTTAAATCCATAATGTTAAATTTCACAAAGGGTATTTACTCATCCACTATTGTCAAGTCAGGTAGAAATATTTTCCAAACTAGTAATATTTACTTAACCCCAAGGTAAAAATAATTTACCTGTAGTAAACTCGTAGTGTCTGAATTTCTTCTTCTAGTTTCTTGTATTGTTCAACTGCAGTTTCTTTTGCTTGACGCATTGATAACAAATTTGCCTGCATGTAATCGATATGTTTTGAAAATACAGTATTAGTTCTTTTTGTAAAAATGAAGTACAGTATGAATAGAAGTCTTGCATTTCTGTTGGTTCAAAAACCTATAACATTTTTAGTAGTGTCACAATGTCCCATAAAATAGTCCAAACATATTAACGACAAAAATACTAAAGTCAGGAATATGTTAAGTTAGCCAACTTTCCTCATTACTAAACTTCAACTTTATTTTATCTGTATCATCAGATATATGGCCTTCTGCAATGTTTAACTTTATACATAGAATTCAGAATGTGGAACACAGGGCCGGAGCAATATCTACAGCAGAGATAAGCACAATGGGTGTTTCACACACAAATGTAATGCGGCTCCACTGCCTGATCACACTAGGTTTTCTTTTAACTTTATTAATAGTAAAACTCAGAAAATTCTAAATATGTTGTTAAGCTATCTTTGATATTTAATGTGAAAAAATACATAAGACTGCAATCTGATTCTTACAGATATTATTTAACCTTTTCTATTCCTTTTCTGTAGAGAAACAATGCCTAAAAGAATAGCCACAACCTTGACTTTTAAAGATAACTGTATTCAAGGGATGCTACTGATCCCCCCTAACTGAAATATTTGAGTTTTAAAGCATTGGAAATCAGTTTTTAAAACGATTTAGATTAATTTTTAACTAATACACAAAAATGTAAAAGTTGTATCTATCAATTGGTAGCACTATAGTTTGATAATATATACATTGTATAATGTTTAAATCAGGTTAAACATATCTATATCCTCAAACATTTCTCATCTCTTTATGGTGAAAAACTTTCAACATATTTTCTTCTAGCTTTTTAGATATACAGTTCATTACTGTCATCTATAAAGGGTTTTTCTGGACAAGGTTTAGAGCAGTAATTTAAAAATAATTTGTTGCCTTCCCCGTCATCATTTCTGTTAGACTTTAAACACTGTCAAAAAAGGTTTTCAACATGACTTTTTAAATATGGCACTGATAAATCAGATTTTAGTATTATTTATTCAAAATTTAACCTATAGGAAAATATTCTTTTTCTTTAAATGGTGTTAGATATGGAAGACAGGGCACATAGATGATAATCCTCACAAACAACAGCAGTGCTAATAATTAAAAATAATTGAAAACTTGGAGGTGGAGTTTCAAAACTTTACTGAATGCATATGATTTCACTGCAGTTATTTTTTTCCTAAGAATGTAGTCATAAGAAAAATCATGAAATTCTAATTATAGGAAAATTAATTAGTGTAATGAAGGTGAACACTAGATAATGCTCATTAATGCCACAGAACTATAAGAATATACAATAGTTTAGATATCTGAATGGAAGTTTATACACAAGATATTAATTTGTTTCTTATCTGGACTAATGGATTCTAATAAAGAGTTACTTTTTAATTAAGTTTAAGATGGCTGAATACTTTTTTTAAACACACTATGTCATAATTGATGAAACATACTCTAAAAAGTGGAAAAAGTATTAATAATAAAAAAGTGGTTGGTTCTTGATGTCAATTATTAACCACTTTGCTATTTTTCACTGTACTAAAAGTATGATTGAAATGATAACTTGGAAAGCACAGATACTATGACTAATGGCAAGTTTTAAAAGAATCATACAAAAACAGACAAATCCCATTCAACTTAGGAGATCTCAAGCATCCTGCTGCATGTATTCAAGTAATATCAAATACTGGACAGGTGACAGAAAATTTGATAAACATATTGCTAATCCGAAATACCTAAAGCAATAAAATACACTGTTAATAGAGAATTAAATCAATAGTAAGAGTGTAAAATATCCTTGAAAATGAGCAAGATGGTTATTTGAACTTTCTTCTGCAAAGTAACAGAAACAAAAAGTCAGAAGTGAACAACCATAAAGGCAATGTTCTTATAGAAAATCACAAAATGTAGATTTTGCTTGAAAATTTCCATAATGAAAATGTGATCATGATAACTTTACTTATATTTTCATGTTTAAGGTAATATTAAACATTTCACTTTCGCTCTACATACAGTTGGCAATGAAGAAAGGTTAATTTGAATCATCTGTAGGAAAATGAATGCACCTTGAGACCACAAGGTTAAATTAAATAAATCAAATTTACAAGTGTAAATATCACATGGTTTCTCTTAAATGAGAAATCTAAATTATAAATAGAGAACAAAACAAAAGAGAGCTAATAAGAAGTAGGGAGACAGGTCTTTCTCAAATGAGAAGAGGATCAAGAAAATGGAGGGGGTGATGAAAGAGGACAAAAAAGGAATTAAGATGTGTTGAGGAATGTAAGCATTATATACTGCAAACATGTGCTACTAAAAAAAAATTAATTCACTCAGTTTCTTAATTCTACTGTCTAATTTCCCTTCTAGGCCCTCATGGCTATCTTCAAAGTTATTATAAACTTTCTGGCTTTACAGTCTCCTTTATCAGACATATGCTTACCTGGCCAGCATATCTTTTTCTGGTTAATATCCTTACCCTACGTCAAGGACGAACTTTTAGCTGTCATTACCTCAGGTTTAAGATCCACATCAGAGTATTCTATCCCACTCGCCCCAGATGGAAACAGTTCCTGATGGTAGCATTTGTACTCCTGGATCCCTCTGTACAGAAGACAGATCCAGATCCATTTCTTTTTATCTACATTTTGTAAATTTTACTAGTACATGTTTGTAGGACACAATGATTACATTCATTGTAGGGAACTTCCTGGGTAGATAAACCCATTTTTTGTGTGTGTATGGGGAGAGGGAAGTGCAGTGGAAACTTGGCTTAGTTTCACTTAGATATCCATTACACATAGTGTAAAAACATTTTAATTTAAATGTTTTATTTCTATTTTATTTCCAAGATTCATTAATTCCATCACCACAAGTCAAAAACAAATTCCCTATAAGAAACATTAAGGAAATTAGTAAACTAGATATTTTTCTTATTTTTTCCTACATCTTATTCCACATTTCTGGCACTTTATAAAAACTGTCTACATT